CTGGATCGAGTCCCGCATCGGGCTCCCTGCTCAGCAGGGAGTCTGCTTCTCCCTCTGGCCCTTCCCCCTCTCATGCTCTATCTCATTCTCTCTCTCAAATAAATAATAAAAAAAAAATCTAAATAAATAAATAAATAAATAAGAAATTTGTCCATTTCACATAAGTTGTTGAATTTGTTGGCAAAACATTTTTCATGGCGTTCTCTTACCCATTTCACATCTGTACGGTTTGTTCTGAAAACCCGTTTTAAATTCGTGACATTGGTGATGTGTGTTCACTATTTTCTTGATCAGTCTGACTCAAGGTTTGTCCGCTCTGTGTATCTTTCCAATGGGTCTTTTCCATCTCTGTTAGCTCTGGGTCCTGTTTATTTTTGCTCTATATTATTTCCTTCCTTCCGCTTTGCTCTTCGTTTCCTGGTTTCCTGATCTCAGCTCCCTGAGTTTAGGTCTTCCTTCTTTGCTGGTGTGAGCCCTCAGAGCTCCGAGCGTCCCAGGAGCTGTGGTCCTTGTGCTCTCCTTGCTGTGCCATTCAAGATATTCTCTAGTTTCTTGTTTGATGTCAGATTATTCAGAACAGTGTTGTTTAATTTCCATGTAATTGGGGTTTCCTTAGGTTCTTGATCCTTACCGACTGCAGTCCTGTTGTAGTTAGAGGACACACACTGTGATAACCATCCTCACACCTGGCAATGACTCGTATTTTACACGAATGGGTTCTGTGAATGTCAGGTCCAGACTGTGGGTATGATTGTTCAGACTTTCTGCATTTTTACTGCTTTCAGTTGTTTGCTTGCTTGGTTTTCAGCTACTTTTTTATCACTTCCTGAGAGAGTGGCACTGAAATCCCTCCTGTCCTTGTGGAATGGTCTGTTTCTCCCATTAATTCTGTCACATTTTGCTTGATGTACTTTGAAGTGCCCGCCGTGCGCGTCTGTAGCTGCTCAGTCTTCCTGATGAGCTGCCGTTGTGTCGCTCTCACGTGTCTTCCCTCGCCTGGTTCGCTTAGGGTACGCTGCCGTACTGTTCATGTTCTGTTTGTCCCGTCCTTCCAGATCGCTGGCGTGGTTTCCAAGCATCCCCCGTGCCCTGCTCGCTGGCTCTCTGGCTGTCTCTACTGCGTGCCAGTGGCTGCTCTGGAGCTTACAGCGCGCCCGCCCCGCAGCCTGTCCTCACGCGCTGAGCTGAGACCGTGCCACACCACGGGCCACTGGCCCCCACGCCGTCCCTTTAATCTCCTCCTGATCTTACATGTTCACGTGGAGGACCTCTGCCTGCGTTGAAGACCCACCGGGCAATATTATAAATCAGTCTTTCTGCTATAATCTTACATAATTTAACTCTTGGGGCACCTGGGTGGCTCAGTTGGTTAAGCGTCCCAACTCCTGATTTCGGCTCAGGTGCTGATCTCAGGGTCATGGGATTGGGCATCAGGCTCTGCACTCAGAGGGGAGTCTGCTTGAAATTCTCTCTCTCCGTCAGCCCCTCCCCCCGTGCGTGCTCACTCTCTTAAATAATTAAATATTTTAAAAAAATAAGCTCTTGCCAAAAAGCAGGTAGTCCTGTGCATTTACCAGTTCTGTTGCTGTCCTCCATTGCTAAAGATCTGGGTTTCCCTCTGGTGCCATTTTTCTTCACCTGAAGAACTTTCTCAAGCATTTTTTTTTTTTTTAAAGATTTTATTTATTTATTTGACAGAGAGAGACACAGCGAGAGCGGGAACACAAGCAGGGGGAGTGGGAGAGGGAGAAGCA